AAACTACCAGAGGAGACGTTTCTACAGAAACTACCAGAGGAGTCGCCCCCTGCTGGTCACTAAAAACAAGACAGGTTTCAGGCACTTCTGGATTGGCTTCACTTTTCAGAGCAGGGTCTACGAACGTATTTATCGACAGTGATAATGAATCACAGGAGTTTAACGTTAGCGCTGCTCACCTTGTGATGCTGGACACAGCCTGACCAGAAGGACAGTGGCGACTCAGAGTTTCTCCCAACTCATTGTCCCATTCTCCTTTCTTATGGAGGTAATCAGCTGCAACAACAAGTTCAATCACAGATTGAGTTCCAGTGAAAAACAGTCTCAGACATGTGAAGTGGATTCAACTGAATAAACAAATATATATATATGTATAATCTATTTACTTACTGCAGCCGTAAAGCTTGTTGATTTTCAGAATGTCATTTTCCGACATGCCGATCCTCTGGCCCATCGTGGCCGTGGCTGAGAAGGCGGAGATGGTGTTCAGTCCGTTCTTAGAGAAGTCGGTGGGGCCGTAATGCATGACAGAGGAGTAGTCATATGGAACATTCAGGTTGTTTGAGTCCAGTTTGTCGAAGTTTCGCAGTTGATTGTCCTGGATGTTGTCTTTGTGGATCTGGACGTAAATGTCCCTGTCGGTTCTGCTTTGCTCGTGCCAGAAGCCGAGGACGTGGAGGAGCTCATGCTGAATGATGCCGTTGCTGAGGCAGCCAGCGCCCAGAGATAATTTCTGAGCCCCTCCGTTTCTTCCCACATACGACCAACATCCTCCTTCCTTCACGATGTTGACGTAGTTGGCGTGACCGTTAAGAGGAACCAAGCGAACGCAGGTGCTCAGGTGGAAGCCGTCGATGGCATTTTGAATGGTGGCCTTGTTGGAGCTGCTGAAGGAGTCACTCACGGTGTACGCCACTTCAACCAGCTTACCTGACTTCGTCCATCGGCAGTTGGTGCAGTCTCTAGCGCTCTTCGTTGCCGGGACAACAACGTCTCCTTCAGTCAGATGTGTTAGGATCGGACTGTTTGCAGCGAGGATTTGTGAACTGACTGCCTGGGTGTCTAGAGGAAAAACGATTGAGTCCAGGTTAAATTCATAAATTACATTCTTCTATTAAATAATAACCTGTTGTATTTGACGTTATTCTGTTATTCACCTAGTGTCATCGCTCTGCAGTAGTTGAAACTCCAGCGATGATCCCTGTCCATTGAACAAAATCATTGTGTTATGAATAAATAATTAATCCTGAGCAGACTCTTTCGTCACGAGCATTAAATGCACCGACCTATTGTTATTGTTCCCGTAGGTGCGGGCGCCTGTCAGGTAGTTGTCTCCGGGGACATGCCAATCAAAGTCTTCGGTGTAGTAGTTGAGCTTCGGAGTTTCCCGGCAATCAAATGTGATGAGTTTATCCACAGAGCAGCAGAGGAAGTTCCATCTAGAACAACAACAGATGAAATAAACTATTATTCACCAATAAACAACGGAGAGATCGTCAGGAAAAGACCGTGACCAGATGATCGACTCACTGACAGGTCATGGACTGTTTGTGACGTTTCTGTCGTCATTAAAACCAATTTACTGAATCATGACGTTTGAACAAGCTACCCACTGTCTGTCCTCGTGCTCAGAGCTGTAGATGCTGTAGACGCCGGTGATCACGTGATTGGCCTTGCAGTTGAAGTTGAGTTCGTTCTCAAATACATTGATGAACCCGGACCAGGAGCAGTCTGTGGTCAGAGCTATGAACGGTTTGCAGTCAATGCTCCAAATGCGATCGCTGCCAACGTAGGTGCTGTGAAATGAATAAACCGAGTCGACGGATGATCAGTCACAGTGCGAAGGTGCCACAGCAGATTAGTGACACAAAGTTCATTCAGCTGTTTTAATTTACCTTTTCATCCGAGACACAGCTTCTTTATCTTCACAGAACTGAACCAACAGGCCTCCTTCTGGATTTGTATATGTCTTTGCGCAGCATCCAGCTGCAAACAAGACGGAGTCAAACAGAATCAGAACAAATATCTTCACCACCATAACCAACATTCAACGATCACACACAACTTCAACACACAGGTCGATGTTCTCACCTGTCGCAAGGACGAAAACCACAACCAGGGTCCACATGATGTGTTTCAGGATGAGCTTCTTCTTCTTCTTCTTCTTCTTCTTCTTCTTCTTCTTCGTCTTCTTCTTCCTCTCAGTGTCTTGTTGTCTGAGCTGACTGACTCTCTGACTGCAGACGCCACAATTTATACGCTTGTGACAAGGAAACAGTCACGCTGCGTCCTTGTGTGTGAGGGCGTGGTCTCCACTCCGGTGTGTATAAACACGTGTGTTTGTTTCCTCATACCTGTCCGCCACCAAACCAAAAAAACTTTCTCAGAAAATCCCACAAACAATTCTTCATTCATTCCTCGTGACAGAGATTATTACCGGAACCATTCTGTTGCGAAATTAAGAAAAGTTAATTAGATCAGTTTCTACACTGAAGACATGTTACT